TATGTGCCAGACATAGGCTAACCTCATTGCGTATGTTAGGTCACGAAGAACTTTGGGGAGAAGTGGCATATTCATTCAACAGAATACTGTACAGTATTAAAAATGATGAACTATGTCATGCCACAATGTGGATGCCCCTTTGAAATATAATATTGAGCAGAAAACACAAGCCAGAAGACTATGGATGAGTGACACCGCTTTGATAAAATCAGAAACAAGATGTAAAAGTAAACAATATTTTGGTCATGAATGCCTGTGCACGCATTACAATTATTTTCATGGAGTAAGAAAGTTGAGGCAGAGAAATGGGATAGAGAAGAAATGCACAGATACAAATGATTAAGAATGTTTTAGTTACTATGTTGGCGAGTAGGTTCGTGAGTGATAGCCTAACGATTATATTTTATAACACACACATTGCACGCATGTGGCTTCAGTTTACCTACCCTCCCCAGTACCCAGTGGGCCTCCACTTTCTATGGTTTTTCAACACCCCCACACTCAGCTGACATCCACCTTGGCCTGTGGCGTGGCTGGTGGGCCCTGATATTGGAATTGGCAAGTTCCTTGTGATGATCATACTTCCTTTCTGACCCTTGAGTCATGCAATTCAGTCAAGGGTCCACACGCTGAAGGGAAGGAGGAGGATGCAGTGGACCAGAGAGGTGGTGATGAGGCTGGCTGCACACAGTCAGGGAATAGTAACATGGGTGATAATAACGATGACATGATGTGAACAGCAGTGGTAGTGATGGCAAATACCTCCACACCAGTCACCCTGATGCCGGACACTGCTCTAAGCCCCTTGAATAGATGGGCTCATTTTATCTTCCTCGTGACCTTAAGTGGTGGACACCTTTTTGCAGAAAAGGGAGGCACAGAAGGTCACAAGTTAAATAATTTGTTCGATGAGAAAAGACCGGAAGAGAAAACTGAGTGGGAGGGAATTTCTGCAGACACCCAGGGCTGAAAGTGGAGCTGCTTTATTTGGGTGGTAAAGGGTGACCCTGGTCGACTGAAACCTGGGGGCCACACATTCTGTGTTTGCGAGAGACCTTGTCCAGCTCTCTGAGCCCTGGTCCCACTCAGGAGACTTGGTGGCCTCTGAGGCAGGGTTTCAGAGGACCAAGATTGTTTACAGTACTGGTCCAGGGCCAACATCTTCCAGCGTGGGAGGTGGAGGGGGTTGTTTCCTTACAGGAGCTGGCTAGCCTGCTCAGGCACACATGGAAGACAACTTCAGTTTGCTCCAACTGTCAAAGCAGAAAGGATGATGGGGTCAGATATTTAGTGACTTCATTCAAGAGTCCAGACAGCAGGCGTCAGAGCTGGGATCAGCCAGGGGACAGAGCACCCTTCTCCCCTCTCCCCTTCTTCCTTCTTCTGGCTCCAGGGAGCCAACCAGTCAGGGAGAAGGATGTGGACCAGGTGAGTTCGATGGTTCGGTGGTTACAGCAGCTTGCTGGGAATCACCCGTATAAGCAGAATCCAAATTTCACCTATTTCCGAAAATTTCAACCTTTCAGACTTTTTCCTAGAGAAAATGTCTAAACAAGGGAATAAAACTGTATGTTATTAAAGTCTTTCAACCTGGCTGCACAAGGAAGTTTCCTATCATTGTTCATATCTTTTTTTGTTAAATTCAAATTTTCTCCTGTTTCCTGCATGGAAAGGCAAGAAATACTCTGCTGGGCTCTTTGTGACTCCAAGTTTATTTTTCCCTGCGCTGAAATTTGACTAAAGTTTCCCAAATCATATTTTAAACTTGACAAAAGGATCTGAAGCGAGGAAGGAGACACACAAATAGTAACACATGAAAATTTACATTTTCCCCCTAGAGTCATCTGGTGTCCAGAGTTTGTTCATATATTATATTTCCTCATGTGATTTTTTCAACATCTCCAGAGTCAGGTAGAGTAAGTTGTGATGTCTTTAGTTTATGAGCGAAGAAGCTGAGGTTAAGGCGGTTGAATGGAGGAGTTGGAACTTCCATGGTTTGTTGTTTTCTTCAGATCTCAGGGTAGCTCCTGAGCTCTGAGAGCTGCCAGACCCAGCCACTGAATGTCCAATCGACATATTAGTCTTCTGCCAGATATCTTCGGTTTTGTCAGAATATAAGTACACAGTCGATGCAAACTTTTATTAAGGCCTTTCCTAAAAAGATTCAGCTTTTTAAAAATAGGAAAAATATATTTAGCTATCTTACTTGGGAGGAGTAACAGATTTATGTGGCAATTCCATAGCACTTTCTTCCGAGATTTTGTAAGCATTCTGGTGAAAGCCATCCTTTTCTTACTCTTTCTTTCTTTCTTTCTTTCTTTCTTTCTTTCTTTCTTTCTTTCTTTCTTTCTTTCCCTTCCTTCCTTCCTTCCTTCCTTCCTCTCTTTCTTTCTTTCTTTCTTTCTTTCTTTCTTTCTTTCTTTCTTTCTTTCTTTCTTTCCTTTCTTCTCTCAATTGTTAAGATCATGATTGAGGGCTGGAAGCATCAGCAATGTTGTCAGGGTCTTTGAGATTACTGAGCCTTAATCACCAGCTTTGGAAATCAGGACTGGGAGCTTAGAGGCAGAGGAGAGCATTTCAGAACTTGCAGTGAAGGAGATGTAAAGTTAGGGGCTGGGATGGCTGGGACATGTGGTGGGACACAGGGTGAAGGAAGAGGAGGCCTGGAAGAAGGGCCAAGTGGTGGTGAGGGACACAGACAAGAGTTGAGCATGGACGTGCAGCATGACACCTAGAGGCCCTGGTGGTTAGGAAGCTGAGTTTAGCATTTGTGAGTGTATTCAGAATGTTTCCACTCTTTGCCTCCATTTGATCTTAGCCAAAAGGCTGAGAAGCGATTCCACTCTTTGCCTCCAGGTTGGGGTGGACTCTGCCTCATGCTCATTCCATTTCTTGACCAAATTTTGAACACAGCACTAAGCACCACATTTTCTGTATGAATAGGACCAACTAATTTCATTCTACGGTTTCCCTAGCAGTGGGCCTGAGACACATGGTGAATGAATCAATGAATGAGTCAATGGAGGGTCTAAGACTTTCCCACACATCAACTCTATTGTAATCTGTTTTTACTTTATTCTAGGAAGCGTTCTTTGCTGATCCACTTACAGCGTGGTACTCCTTCAGCCTGAGAGGTGATTAGAAATGGACCAGGGTGGTGAAGGCCACTAGCAGGTACCAGAGACCCCTGCAGTTAGGTTCCAGTGCCCTGCCTAGTAGACGACTCAGGCCTGAGAAATAAATACACTGAGCACAGAACTAGGAGAGAGAAAGCAGGGTGCCAGGATGATCAGTGCCAGTGCAACACACACAGGCACTGGCCGGTCCCAGGCACTGACTTTTATTGGCAATCAACTGGGGTAAAGGCGAGCTATGTGCAGTTTCTATGGAAATTAATGTAAACAAAGCTCATAAAGGACAAGACAAAGCACTCTCGAATTAGGAAAAGAATAGACAAAATCTATGATTGTAATTAAAACATTATCCTTCTAGTCAGAAGGTTTTAGTTGTGGGAACACAATTTGAGTGCGAGTTACTCTGACCTCGGCGCGTAGGCTTCAGCCAGACTCACTTCTATAAACAATCCAGTTGTGGGGTTAACTCTTCACAGCTTGCTTTGGGCATAATCGATACTATAGTCCCCTGCAATCAGGGTATCTTAGAACAGACTCAAATGCTCCTCTGCTGGGTTAAAATCATAGTATTTTCTGTTTCTGAAATCAAACTATTCATGCAACCACTCATTTGGGTTAGAATGCCAGAAGTTTGCTCTTGTTTTTGCCCCAAGCCTAAGACCTTTCTACAACAAAACCCAAAAGGGCAGCTGAACATAAGCACCAGTATTTCTCCATGTGAGAAATATTGAAAGAGGTCAGGAGTAGTGGCTTATTTTGCCAATTGACCTAAATTTAGGGCTGAGAAGGGTGTTGAAGGCATGGCTGCTGCTGAGAAAAGGTTTTGGAATATTTGAGACTAAATAGAAGAATACATGAGTAAATGTTAAGGCCAATTTTGGAATTATGAGATGGACTAGTAAAGGGAGAGGTCAGGGTGACTGCCTTATTTTTGGTGAATGGGGAGTGAAGGAAATATAAAAAAAGGAGCAAGTACCAATGGAGTAAGATGAGGAGTTCAGTTCTGAGGAGACTCTCAATGGACTCAGAAGTGCAACTGGGAGTTGGAACTATCCCTCTAAAAAGAAGCAATTGTAGGGAATATTTGAGGAAATTATTTTCCTATAACTAGTTATTTTTAATGAGAAGTATATAATTAAAAATCACTCTAGCTGACAAATAATAATTATGTACATTTGTGGTATACCAAGTGATGATTTTTCCCATTTATAAATTGTTCAGAATTTTTTGATTAACACATAATAATAATTATATATATAAATGGGGTAGAGTGTGATATTTCAAGATAGGTCAACAGCATGCATTGATTAAAAAAAAAGAGTAATTGACATTTCCCATGCCTTATCATTTCTTTATGTTTGGAACTGTCAAGTTTTCCTCTTCTAGATCTTCATAAAACGTACAATAGACTATCATTAACTATAGTTTCTGAACTGTGCTGCAGAATATCATCACAAAAACTCTACAAAGATATTTTCAATCTGAGAAAAATGAATTTTAAAAATTCTTTTGTAGAACTACATACTATTCCATAGCTTGCTAATTCATTTCCTTATAAAACTGATTCTTATTTTTTAAAAAATTGATTCTTATTTTTCAAACAGCAAGAGATGCAATATTGCAAGGGTTATTTATTTTGTCCCTTACTGAACTCCGCTCTCAATCAAAATTACTAATTAGAAATGCAAAAACACGATAACATCAGCAGCAGGTCCTTGCTTAGGGATTCAGGGTGTAGGTTAATCATATCCCAACAACAGTGATCTGCCACAGTTTCTTGAAATGTCATAGTAACAAAACTATGTCTCCTTGAAAGACATAGTAACAAAAATGTCTTGGTGTATCTCTTACTACAGCTCAGGATTCATGGATAGTCCAAGAAATATCACAGAGTTTCTCATGCTGGGACTGTCACAAAATCCCGAGGTACAAAGAGTTTTATTTGTGCTCTTTCTTTGTGTCTACCTCATCTCTGTTGGGGGCAACCTATTTATCATGATCACTATTATCTTCAGCCCCAGACTGGGCTCCCCTATGTACTTTTTCCTCTCATATTTGTCCTTCATTGATACTTGCTATTCATCATGTATGACCCCCAAACTCATTGCTGACTCACTGTATGAGGGGAGAGCCATGTCTTTTGAGGGCTGCCTGGCCCAGTTCTTTGTTGCTCATTTACTGGGAGGAACTGAGATCATTCTGCTCACGGCGATGGCCTATGACCACTACGTGGCTATCTGCAGGCCCCTGCACTACACGACCATCATGACCAGGACCCTCTGTGCCATGCTGGTGGCACTGGCTTGGCTGGGGGGCTTCTTGCACTCGTTGGTTCAGCTCCTCCTGGCCCTTTGCTTGTCCTTCTGTGGGCCCAATGTGATCGACCACTTTGTCTGTGACTTGTACCCTCTGCTGGAGCTGGCCTGCACTGACACCCACGTCACGGGCCTGTTGGTGGTGGCCAACAGCGGTGTGATCTGCCTGCTGAACTTCCTGCTGCTGGCTGCCTCCTACGTTGTCATCCTGAAGTCCTTGAGGTCCCGCAGTACAGAGGGGAGATGCAAAGCCCTCTCCACCTGCGGGGCCCACTTCACAGTGGTGGCCTTGTTCTTTGTGCCCTGTATATTTATTTACATGCGTCCATCATCTACTTTAGCCATAGACAAAATAGTGGCGGTGTTTTATTGTATTTTGACACCCATGTTCAATCCCCTTATTTATACCCTGAGAAATTCAGAGGTGAAAAATGCCATGAAGAATCTCTGGGAAAAAATGAGCAGTTGTGGATGGAGGACACAAGGTACAATGGGGGAGAAGGGGTAAGTCACCCACTGAGAATTCATATTGTCACAGTGAGACCCAAGAGGTTGCCACCAATTTTAAAATAAAACTGATTTGAATATTTGAGTTTGTGCATAATCTGTGTTCAAAATTACTGAGCAGGTGAGTGACTACAGGGCAGTTCAGTTTTTTCTTAACAGCTTAAATTACAGAGCATGGAAGAATATCCTCTTCCTTCCTCACCTGCGTTAAAGAGAAAAATCTTTTAACTGAGTATGGTGGTACATGCTGTAATCCTAACTACCCAGGAGGCTGACGCATCAGGATCCCAGATTCAAGGCCAGCCTGGGGAACTTAGTTGAGAAAAAAGGGGAGAAAATGAAAATAAATGAAGGAGAAAATGGGAAAAAATGGAGAAAATGAGGTTAGGAATGACAGAGCTCAAATCACTATGGAACTGGCTTACACTAAAATCAACATGAGCATGACTTTATACAAGAAACTGTAATACACTGTGAAATTCTGCAATAACTGTTCACAGAGTCGGTACAGGTCCTCCCCTCCTCCAGTAAATGATTGGACATTGACTTAGACTTAGGCATTGTGCTCAACATTAGAAAACAAGATCACATACTATCTCCACAAGAAATGGATGTTGTTTTCTTTTAAAAAACGGTGAAGCAGTTATTCATAAAAGCTGGTCTATTCACCGGCGTGGAGCTAGAATTTATATACAGATCTTTGTTGCCTTCAAGTTTGATTTTGCCCAAATGCACAAAGCCTCACAATTTTCTGGTTTTCCTCCATGTGGTTTTATATTGTTTATATTTTTTCCTTGTCAGTTTCCCTTCCTCAACAGCATAATTTTCAATCTCTGACAGGCAATTGTCCAAAATTATTTCAAGTCCAGGCTCGTCATCAAAGAAGACCATCAAGAAGGCTTTGATTCTCCCAATCCACTTGGTAAAATGTGTGTCCCTAGCTTCTTGCCAACTTCAGGTACCTTTGCCTTCTATTTTATGTCTCATTGTAATTTGGAGCTTTTGAGTTCTCTGATCCGCTTCCCCAAGTATTCAACTTGAGGGCGGAATTGTGTTGATTTCATGGTGAAAGATGTTGTTTTCTTTTTAAATGTTCCTTTGGCAAGGATAATGATACAGACACAAGGCACAAAGCCTCGTTAGGTACAGAGATATTGCATATATTAGTTCAAATCAATGCCATTTCCTGTGCAGTAATTTTCCTAGTTTCACTACATCATAGCTATACTGTTTCATATATAATGCAGTAAGCTAGTTATACATTTCTTTCCAATTTCATATCCCATGGTACACTGATTTTAGGTTGGTTTTTTTTTGAGACAAGGTCTCAAAAACCTGGGCTGGCCTTGAACTCATAGCGATCCTCCTACTTCACCTTCCCAAGCGCTGGGAGGACAGGCATGAGCTACCACATCTGGCTCTACAGCAACTTATTAATCAACTTAAAAGGTGATATTTATTTTATATCTATTTTCTGACATAGAAAGTGTTTGTCATGTAGTATAGAATTTCAAAAGCAGGTTGCAAAATGGAAAATGAAATAACACTGATAGAAACTGTGTACTTTATTCTGTGTGTGTATAGGGGTGGAGAGGAATTTGGAAGTGAGTTTATCAAAATGGTAGCAGTATGTCACTCTGATCAGATTTTATTTTACTCAATGAATTTAAATTTATACATTTTGTGAAATTTTTCATTTATAATTAGCTGTATATTATTTTTCCAAAACAAAATCATGTAAAATCAGAAAGCGCAACAATTCATGAATAAACTTTTTTTTTCATGAGTAAACTTTTAAAAATAAAAGCCCAAACACTCTTCTAGATTCTGGGGACACAGCACTGAATATAATCGCACTAACATCTCTGTCCTCAGGACCGACTCACACCCTGGACGTCCCTCTGGGAGTGGGAAATGTGCTAGTGGGGATTTGACTCTGCTATCAAAGTTCATGTTTTATTGCCTCTTCTTTCTTCTGTTAGGTAACCCTAAAAGGGCTATCAGAAAGCGATATTATTTTATGAAAGTGGTAGATGAGTGAGAGCTAAATGAGCACTTGTTTTTTTTGATCATATGTTTTATTTGAGAGATTACAGGCTGTGCATTTTAATTGTTACCCCAAATGTAAGAAATTAGCTTCATATGCAAACTTTCTAGCCTAAGTGTATCCTTATTCAGAAAGATATCATGAAGAAAACCATAGACCGACCCCTAAAAATACAAGAAAGTCATGTTCTATAGTACTTTAATGGTTATCATACCATAATAAAATAGAATTTACTCCAGGAATCAAAAGATCAGTTTATATTAGAAAGCTCATTAAAATAATGGATTTTCTCATCAATAGGTCAATGGAGAAAAACTATATTATATTTTAAAATGAGAGAGACCTCTGGAAAGAAATGTTCATGAGATTTTATTAGCAACATTGTATCCTCCATTGCCTGAGGGTGGAGCATGTCCCATTCCTGAATATTCCCATCCAAAGAGTGCTTTTCCCGAGACTTTATCATTGAATTTCTTCAGTGCCTTCCGTTTCTGCTAATTTCAGTATCTTTCCATCATCACATAGTGGACTGGTTCACAATGCTTATTTTGCTTAGGAGCTTTTTTGCTTCTGTTTTTTTTCCTTTTTTTCTCTCTCACTATCTCTCTCTCTCTTTCTTTCTTTCTTTTTCTCTCTTTCTTTCTCTCTCTCCTTCCTTCCTTCCTTCCTTCCTCTTATCTAAGATTTATATCAAGCTGCTTCTCTATGTGTGAGACTCAAAATCCCTGGAGGTTTAAGTACCTGAGACATCATTTTTCTCTGTTGACCTATATCTACCAGTTAAGTCTATTCTTCTGTAAGGTTGATAGAGACTGCTGATTGGAGGAGAAATATATTTTCCTGTCTTACATAAGGGTATGCAGTGATTGCATTTAGAAGTTTTGAAAGAGAATAACACTGCAGGTATGTATGTTTCACAGCAGCCATGAATTTCACCATCCATAAACCATTTCTTTTACTCCTCTACTAAGAGATCTCATTTTCATCAATAGCAGAGAACTTAATGCTTCAGTTATGTATATGTTTTTCTTTTTCTTTTCTTTTCTTTTTTCCCACTAAGTTTATTGGTACATTTTAGGTATAAAATACAGTTACATTCATCATTGGGATCTTGTACCATTATATGAGTATCTGGATTCTTATTTTTTTCCCCTTTCCTTGCCCTCTCTTCACCCCCTCCACCCTTTCCTATTTGCAAAGACTTTTTTTCCATTTTTTTTCTTTTCTCATATGTTTTCCTTTCCCCTACCCCTCCCAATTCTCCTGCTCCTTTAGACCTTTTCTTCCTATTACACAATATCAATTATACATTTTTAAACTACAATATCAAGATCTAGGAGACATTACGACAGATTTTACAGAATTTAAAAGGATAGAAAAAGCATATTACAAAAACATTTTTTGAAATAAATTTGACAACTTCTAAGAAGTACCTTGGCAGATAAATTAATGAAACTAACTCTGGAGGAAATATAACATTTGAATAGCACCTATGAAAGAAAGTATATTCCTAGCTTGAAAACCTACCTATATGACAACAGCAGGCTCATAAACATTTTAACTGAT